AGATCCGGGCTTCGATTACACGTACATACACAGCTGTGCTTATATATATGTATATAAATGTAAATTTACGTTTATCTATATATTTATATGTAAATGTAAATTTCGTAACCAAAGGGTGTGTCTTCTAAAATTAATGTTATTAATAGGGAAATTTATGTTTCTATTTATGCGAACTATGTGTACAGTGTCTGTAGAGACACAAGATAATTCTAATGTAATCATTTTAAAAGAAATTTTAATAACCGGATTTTTGCACGAATTTATAATGCAAGATTTGGACCATATAATTTTTTTCAATTTTCAAATTGTAGGTTACAATTAAATATTTGTTAATATATTTTCCAGACATTTGCGAATTTATGTATATATTCCACAAGATTTCCTTTATATTTATACTCTCTCTCTATATAATATTATATTATATCTTACTGCATTGTTATTTGCGATGATGCTGCGCCGTTTAGTACTGTATTTCTCTCGTTAGCAACGCGGTAGCCTGGTAACCATGGTAATCTGATAACCGTGTCGATATAGCAATTGATTTTCACAATTCGAGCTTCGGGTTCCGGGCTGGCGGATTCTGACTAATTATCAGCAGCTTCATTCTATATAAAGGCAAATTTCGTAGTTGAACGATTTCTTCCGTTCATGTAAAGAAATTTACATTTTTATTTATGCAAGCTGTGCATAATAATGTCCGTAAAAATACAAGAATTATATTTTAGAAAAAATTTTAATAACTGGCTTTTTCTATAAATTTATAGTGCAAGAAACAGACCATGTATAATGGTTCTTTTTCATTTATAAATTGCATATTATAATTAAACGTTCGTTAACATTTTTTCTGGACATCCGCAAATCTATGTAAATATTCCGCAAGATTTTTTATATTTATATTACATAACATTACATCTTATTTTTTTTACATCTTATTTTTTTTTGTTATGTACAATGATGTCACGACGTTTCGCAGATATTTTAAACACGATTGTCGGTATGTATACTATACGACTACACAAAACATTGCAGAAACCAGGACCTCGACGGTTACTACGTGCCACACAATTGATTTTCGCGTCGGGTGATGCTTGAGGTGGGGCAAGTAGGGAGAGGGCAACGAGATCAAAGCCTCAGGCTATCGAGCTCGAATCGCGATTATTATCGACAGCTTTATTCTACATGGACACAAATTTTGTAATCAAACGATGTTTCTACCAGAGATTTTACCATTAATATTATAAAAAGAAATTTATATTATGATTTGCAAGCTGTACATATCTATACAATATCTGTTAAGAATTATATTTTATATAAGAGAAATTTTAATAATTGGATTTTTATACGAATTGATTTTGTACGAATCAGATCGTACAATTCTTTTTCATTTTTATATTGTAGGTTGTAATTAAACATTCGTTTAATATTTCCTTTCTGACCATTCGCGAATCCATGAAATATTTTTCGCAAGGTTTTTTTCATTTATTCATTTTGCTGCGCTTTCTGTTTAATTTTTACCTTATTTATTTTGGCGTTAAATCGCAAACAACGCAACGATATTTCTACAAAATATACGATATTTCTACAAAATTAAGAATAATTTTCGTAAATGTTTTCAAACATATATCGCACATGAGAAATATGAACATTATATTGATTGAACACTGAAAATTTTTAAAAATATAAGTATAGATTTAAATCTAAAAATAATTTTTTTAATCGAGATTATTAAAATCTCGATTAAAATATTATAATAACGTAGGAAACTGAAGCATGTTGAATTGATGAGCGATACCATAAAACTTTGACATTCCAATAATCATTTAAGCATCCTGCATAATTATTTTTATGATCCAATAAATTATTTTTAGATTTGTCACGCTACGTTTAGATCAGCTACGTTTTTAAATGCTCGGTCTTCCCGTATACAGCATCTAATTAAGATGTATGATCGTCCTACAAATCAGGTTAAAAATCAATCGTTTCAACATCCATTACGAATGAAATAACAGAATATATTTCCCAGTAATACGTAATAAAGATATAATTAACATATAAAGTAGGATAAAAGCGGTAATGTGTGTAAACGGAGATTACAAGGAAAGACAACGCGTTTTTGCCGTTTATCGCGTCACGTCGATTAGTTTCTCTTAATATGCGCGCGCGAAGTGATATTATATTTCTTCCATTGATCGTCACGGGAGTAACTATTCCGGATGATCTCGAACGGATGGGGCCGAGATTACATCCACTTATATTAACGCTTTGCCTCAATGCACGCCACTTATGTTGCAATTTAGCACAAATATCATTCCCAGTTCAGTTTTCGCTGATGTAACGATTCACACATACATAATAAGATTTTCATATGAAAAATTAAAGAACGACTGTCGAGATTTACGTACTGTTTCACATATATTTTTTAAATAATATATACTATATATTACGAGAAAAAGGACGTTATTATAAATCTGATACTTTGATCCAATTGCAATTGATTTATTCTAACAAAGGTCTATTTAAAAATCTTTGATTCTTATTATTGATTATAAAAATTAATAATAATTTAATTGCAAATTGCAAAAATTAAAATTTTAGGTAAATCATAACGTAAATTTTCAAGTATCTTAGAAATATTTTATGAAATTATGTAATAGATTGAACGTTGTCGACTTATTATAGACTAAAAATAATAATTACTATTATTCTCTATTCTTTTTATGCGTAATGATGATAATTCTGTGAACTTTACGAAGTCTCGAGAGATTATATAACGCGTAATATAACAAGGTCCTGCTCTTTCTACGTACTATCGCTTTATATGCTTTTGTTTACAGCTTATCATTATCTTCGCTTCCACTCCATAAGAAAACTAATTACGTTTTCAAACAAACGATTATTTAATCTATAAGATAATATATTATTTAAATTCATAAAGAAGAAGGATATAGATACGAATTACACAACAAAAAAATATATCCAGGAAATATCCTTGAAAAACGGTAATAAGTTAATCGAATGAAAGGTAGAAAGGAAATACCAAATAATGAAACATTATGAATGAAAAAAAAAACGAATAAATGAATGACCAACGATCGTAACAAAATTGTGCATGATACAGTTGAATTCGCTTTACTACCGACGCGCGGCGGTATCTCATGCGTAACGAGGGTCAAGTTCTTTGAAGATTACGCAACAATTATTGTCTCGAATATCTCGTTTTCCTTTTAAAACAATATGTTGTATCATAAATCGCTCGTAAACTGTTTAATTACATTTTGAAAAAGAAAATATTTGTGAAAGGCTCAATAAGTATTAAACAACTAATATAATGAAATAAGGGCAAATGAGCAAATTTTCATTAGAATCTTTAAATCAATCTAATATATTGCGAAGAATATCACGTAATGTTGGCGTTTCGTTCGGCTTCCAATACTGGACTCATCAGTAAGGTATTGTAATGGAAGCCTCTCTCTCTCTCTCTCTCTCTCTCTCTCTCTCTCTCTCTCTCTCTC